TATATATAGCTGCTGTATGCAATTGTTGTTGTGTATGTTGTTATAGGCCAGCATTCGTAGCATATGCTTATCAGTTCTCTTATAATGTTGACATAAAAACAGATCTCATGAATCTATTTATATGCTATAATTAACTACGGGGATCTGATTTGTAAAGCAACCATTACATTACATTACATTTGTAGTCTAAGTCTAATCAAATCTAGCCATGCTTAAATTTCCTGAATGAGCTAATTTAATTCGTTTATCAATATAACGAGTTCCCAGTGCCAGTGCGTCTGCCAAGTGTTTCAGAGTCTTGAAAAGTGAATTAGAAATTTATAGATTGCTATGACATGACAGATAAATATCAAATGAAGACAAGTTCTGAAATAATTAATAAATTTCGTACGTCAACTATATATCTCCATAATTTTAGCATTTCAATCACTAAGGACATCGTTTACAGGGTACCGACACGAGATTCTCGCTTTATTTTTGATTATGCATCTCAATTGTTTAGCTAAGAAGAAACTTTGCTTATAAATATTGGCACACTTAACCCTAAATTATAGTTATCAAGTTATAAACTTATTTTTTAAAAACTTACTACACAGTTCTAAATGTATTGTTTTTATCAAATTATGTTTGTCAATATAACATCAAAGTCAGCTTCAATAAACAAATTAATTAAAATTTTATATTTCATATACATTCTTCTAGTTTTATTTACGAGCTTACAAGTTTATAAGGGATCTGTCCAGCTGGTGGGTAACACCATAAGAAAGTATAAAATGAAACTTTGATTCATATTGAACTGCAATCGTAGTATTAAGAGACATGAAAGTGTATTATTTATGTATATATGTTAGTGGTAGGTGCTTCATAAAGTATTCGTCACTTTAAAGCATATTTGGAATAATTTACGTTCTGTCGGGTATTGCACCTATGCTAATCCGATCGGCAGTAGCTATGGATTAGTTCGACTTGATCTCCAGATTGCCAAAAGCTGAATCCAATGATGCAATCCACTTGTCATTATTATCGATCGATGAATGCCTTGCGGTATGCTCCATGGCCTGCTCCAATGCCCATTGTGCCAGTTTTTGAGACTCCTTACGCTTCAAGCTAACTGCCTTAGAGTTTGCCAGATAGCTGCAGCACAAGAACAAACCATAAAGTGCTCGCAAGTTGTGCGGATTAAGCTTGATGGCCTGCGAGTAATACGTGCGAGCTATTTCAATATTTTCAACGCCACCCTGAAGATAATTATAGTGCATTGGTATAACCAGAGAGAGGCGAAAGAGTATGCTCAATTACCATGGTGTATCGGATGTCCGCAAGTCGCTGATGTATTAGATGACTGTGGGGATTATGGAGCAGAACCTCCTCCATACAAAAGGCTGCCTTGCCGAACTCACCCTCGGCCAGATACAAGTTGCAGAGCTCCTGCCACGCTTCCTGATCCGACATGAATCTATGGTAATCATAATATTCATATAAGCCTCATTCATTACAAACATATAGGTGTTATACTTTTTGAGATATGCATTAAGTTCCTTAATTGCATCTAAACGAAGTCCGCGAGCTTTCATTATAGCTATTTTCCTTTTGCGCGGCGCCGCATTTGTCTCATCCTTTTCAATTATGGCATCTAATACTTCGTTGGCGGCGTCGTACTGCTCAAGTGCTTCCAAACGCATCGCCTTGAACTTCATCACACGCAAGCTACCTGGAAACTCGGCACTCAGCTGCTTTGTGCACTTGGTGGCAATGTCAAAGCGTGCGGTGTCCAATGCAGCAACAATCACTTGCTCGAGTATCAAATGTCTTTCGTTGCCCGTTTTGTGGACTTTGTCCTCGAGCACGGCTACCCACAGTTGAACCACATCCTCGCTGTGGCGTCCAGACTCCTCACGCCATTTTCTAAACTGATCCCGCACATCTGAAAGTTCAATTCCACGTAATATTCAATTTAGCTTCGTTAATATTATTGTACATGCAAAATTTATCTTTAGCAACTGGGTCACGCATATTTAATCAATGAAAATAAAGCCAATAAGTTATCTACCAGTTCTGGTACTTGAAATATTTACCTGACCAACTCATTTCTTCATAATTTAGCGACATTTTTATTTAAACCCTTATAATTTATAAATTGTCAATTTATTAAAAAAAAAGTCGAGTCAGAAGGTAATCGATAGGCAGCGATAAGTTTAAACGATGATTTTACTGATGTTACGATAGAGTTTCAATATGCCTTAACGATGAAAATATTACATTTTCAATTTTTAAATTGAATATGTTATTCGTACATAAATATTTGTATAATAATTTCGTTGATTAAAAATAAAAATATTACTAATCTATAAGTTTGCTACACAATATTTTAAGTAGTACAATCAATGGTTATATAAAAAACGTTCAAGGTATTAAAACGCCTGCCATCTAAAAAAAAAAAAATAAATGAATATCTTTGATTTTTTTGTAAGTCTGATTAAAAGAAGACCTCTTAAATTAGTTGATAGAATATCACTAACGCAAAATATATGTGGGCTGTGTTTTTAAACACAAGGTGGCAATCCTAACAGCGAATGAATATGTTAGCTCACGTTAACGCCAGCACTTGATACGTTTGATTTGCTGCTTCAAAACGGTCAATGATAGTTTATTAGCTAAAGCGAAGGTGTTCATAACTGAACGATACAATTTAGTAAATACTAAGTGTGCTGCTGACCTTTCGACAAGTGGATCTAATAAGACACACTCCAAGAATGCCGCAAGAGGAGCAGGATGCTAAACAAACCTTTCTGGGGTTTGACTTGAGCACGCAGAAGGTAACGAGTAAACAATAGTTGATTTATAGCTTACATATTGTTTACTGGCTTGCTTGACTTTGACAAGTCCACCTCAGTTTTAAGGTGATAACGCTGTTCCGTGATGGCCCAAAGACAAAAAGGTTATTGTGAAAGGTCAAATGCCAAACTTGACATTAGTTGTTATCAATAAGAAATCAGGATGTTCTTATCGCTCAATGTGAGCATTCTTTATGCTAAAATGCGTATTTATAAAGTTATTTGCATATTTATGCCAACTCAACATTTTGCCTATATAACTGTTTTGATATGACGCAAGCATTTACAGTTAATTACCCTTCGGGTTGTCTTCTGCCAATGTTTGATCGTTAATTTTGAGGTGTGTCTGCCGCACTGACAATGACAATTTTGCTTGTTTCAGTTAAAGGCCATCCTTTTGAATTCAGAACTCAACGTTGTTGCCACAGCTGAGGTTAAATTCGATAGCGACTTACCGGAGTTTCGAACCACAGGTGGTGCCAACCCAGGCCCCAATAAATTCGAGTAAGTCAAACCCTGATGAACTCAAAGAACTCTCTGTGGCTAACGAAAGTCCAAATGGTTTAGGTACTTTGTTCAGCCGGTGATGTGGGTTAAGGCAATGGACATTGTTTTGGATCGTTTAGTGATGCAGGAGGCAGACTTAAGCACTGTCGTCGCCATTAGTGGATCTGCTCAACAGCACGGCTCTCTTTACTGGTCCAAGCACGGGATTACGGCTCTACAAAACTTAGATGCCGATAAGTTTTTGCATTCGCAAATCGACGACTCAGCGTTTGTCGTTAACCGAACGCCTATATGGATGGATGCGTCTACATTGAAGCAATGCTTTGAAATGGAGACGGCTATTGGTGGGCATACCGAAATGGTTCAGAAGACGGGCTCCAAGTGCTACGCGCGCTTCACGGGACCACAAATTCGCAAAATTTACCAGCAACGCACACATGCATATGAGGACGCACGGCGTATTTCGTTAGTCAGCAGTTTTCTGGCCTCGCTGTTTCTGGGAAAAGTGGCGTCCATTGACTACGCCGACGGCTCCGGTATGAATCTGTTGGATATTCGTAATAAGACGTGGTCAAAAACGTGTCTCAATGCTTGTGCGCCTGATCTGGAGGATCGTCTCGGGGAACCAGTCAGTGGATTTTCCATTCTTGGCAATGTGAGCGACTACTTCGTGCAGCGCTTTTGCTTTCCAGCCACATGCAAAGTGGTTGCGTGTACGGGAGACAATCCGTCTGCTCTGGCCGGAATGCTTGTCGACAAGAACTGGCTGAGTATTTCGCTGGGAACTAGTGATACGCTTATGATGACCTTAGACGAACCCCCCAATCTGGAAGAGGGACATGTCCTATGCCACCCGACTGAATCTCATGAATATATGGGTCTTTTGTGGTAGGTAAACAACAATCGTTTAAAGGCTTATATCAGCCGTACATCAGAGTTTGCACAGATCATCAAAAATTGTTTCATAGTTTTAGAAATGGATCACTCGTTCGCGAAGCGTTTAACAAATCTGAGGCTGATAACAACTGGGAAACATTCAATGAACTGCTAGACTCGACGCCACGAGGCAATTTCGGAAATATGGCACTGCACTTCAATGAGATGGAGATAATACCAAAGGCCAAAGGAACGCTGCGCTGGAACAAGGATATGAACGGCAGTTCGCACGATGCAGCAAAGGGAGTGCTCAAGTGAGTGCAAAGAAGGAAACCATTTGGGTGGCAGAATTGAAGCTTCCATTGGGTCTTTTACAGATTCAGCTCTCCGCAAATTGAAATTCGTGCCTTAGTCGAGGGTCAAATGCTGCACCATCGAGCTATTGCGGAGGATATGGGCTTCCACTTTGGCAGCCAGACTAATATCCTTGTTACTGGCGGTGCATCCGTCAACAAGTCCATATTACAAGTCATTGCCGATGTCTTTAGTGCACCAGTTTACACACAAGTAAATTATAATTCACATTGCTTGAAATCTTTATTTTAAGTTTGCTGCTTTGTTTTCAGAATGAAAGCGAGGCAGCCCTTCTAGGTGCCGCATATCGGGCAGCCTATGCGTACCATCTGCATCA